GTCTCACAAATGTCACTTTTTATTTATGCCACTACAAAAAAACATGATGTAAATGATGCATGATGTAAAACATGATGTAAAAAACTTGTGTAGATCCTCCTCTATGTCAGTCCATGTGTAATTTTTCCATAATTCTTTGTTTTTTGCAGCATTTTTGTTAGTGTAACTGCAGATTGTGCTGACAGTGTCTATGGCACAAAAAAAAAAAACTGAAAATGCCTCAACATGAACCCCTGGTGGTCTCTGAGGGTGAAACCTGCTAACTGCTGCAGCTCTGTCAGCTTCAGTCTCCCATGCAGAGCTCTGAGCGCATGTGTGGCTCTGCACCCTTAGCAGCGTTGCTAACTCCTCAGTAAGGAAAGCCTGCTTCATGTCAGAGTCTCTAAACTCCAGAAGAAGTCGATAAAAGTCCCTTTCTTTCTAAAAAAAAGTCGTTAGGGGGTCTGAAAAGTCATTGAATCTAACAACAAAGTCGCTAGGTTTGCAACTACGTGTCCCAGACTGCATCCCTGCTGAGAGTCCCTCCCTCGCTTCTCATGTTGCAGGAAGAACGTAAGCGCCCGCCCCTTGTCAATCAGTCACCATATAATTTTGGATTGGTTGTTGTGGTGAAGTTTTCCACCAATAGGAGAGATGTTGTGGTGTGTTTTTTTCTTTTGGCAAGCCTTTTCCGCCTGTAAGACCTGTCGCTAATGTCTGCATGCTATGTTTTCCTGTCTCATACAGCGCGATCGAGCGCCGAACGTGATCAAAATAAGCAGAAAAAAAGTATCGCGGACATAATTTATCATAACTCTGGTTTTATTTGGCCTATCAACACAATTTAAAAACTGGTATATAGGTTGAGGTCCTCACTTTTGAGATAAGTTGAAACGGAGAGTCAACGAGGCTCCGTCTTGCAGCTACATCCGGTTAAATATGTCATGTGACTTGAACGCACACACAGACACACACACACGCACACACACACACACACACACACACACTCAGAGTCTGTTTTTTAGCACCTGCAAAAACATGCTATTTACATATTTGACAAGAATGCAGAGGCTCCTTTTGCCCCTGAAAAAAATCAAATTTCAAACACAACTTGACTGGTCATTTCTCCAAAAGACAACCATGAAGCTCCATCCAAACCTGAAGCAGGCAGTTGGTGCATGTGTACAGTAACCTGAGGGGAGTGAGGTGAGTGCTTCTGAGGAGAACATGAGCTGTGAAGATTCACCTTGGAGCTAGAACAGAGACATGCACATGATTATACAGGGGCAGGGGCTCAAGTTTTTTCCAGTCGTTTATACAATATGGAAATTAATGTGAAATTAAAACACAAAGTATTAATAGAAAGGTAATGACTGTCCTGTGTAGGTGACAGTGATATCCAATAGGCTAGGCACTCACGAGGCTGGCTGTGGCAAGTGTAAGTGAAAGCAACACGCACTGGCAAGGAAGAACAGCAAACGCCGATGAAGGAAAAGGGTCTTTGCAGTGATGGGCGTTACCAGAGAGGGCGATGGCCAGAGGACACAAATGGGACGGGGAGGCAGCACGTTGGGGGGGGGGACGCGACACGGCTCGGGCCCGCCAGTGCCCCAACGGGGTCCTAGTTATTATTTTTCCTCCGCTTTAAACTGGAAAATGGCCCACTTCCCACTGGCGAAAACTCAGGAAATTTGGCAGGACGACCGGGCCTGGTGAAAAATTCGATATTCTGAAGTCGCCCAAACAATAAAATGCAAAATGGCTCCAAAGCGCCCCCTAAGGTGAAAATTCACATGACGGCTGTACGCTTTGTCATATTGACACAAAAATTGACACACACATGTATCTCAATAAGATCTACAAAAAAGTCAGTGCGGGCGTATCTGTCAAATGTACGGTTAATGGGTTATTTTGCATTTTTTGCAGATCTGCACACATTGGAATTTCGCTAACTCCTCCGAAGGCTTTCGTTCGACCGGCACCACATTTGCGCAGGCCAATCTACCCCCCATGGCCATTAAAAGTTGTACAAATCATGACGCTGCACCCCACGGTTTACGTTCTAGGGGGCGCCAAAAATAACCCAAAATCCACATTCTTAAAAGTCTTATAACTTTTTATTTTTGTCCTCACTGCCCTCCAAGTTTTCTAGGATGATGCAATGTCCAGCCATCAACACATTTGTGAAGGAATTTTTACTCCCCAAAAGAGCGCCCCCCCATGGCAGGAGAAAAAAGTCAATTTTTTCTTGTCCCCTTACATGAAAATACACATTGTTGAGTGTCACGCCTGAACGCTTTGTCATATTGACACAAAAATTGACAATCATGTGTATCTCAATTAGATCTACGAAAAAGTCAAAAAGCGCGTATCTGTATAATGTACGGTTAAAGGGCTATTTCGCATTTTTTGCCGATTCGCACACATTGGAATGTGGCTATCTCCTCCTAAGACTTTCGTCCCACCGATACCAAATTTGCTCAGGGCAATCTACACCCCATGCCCATTCAAAGTTGTAAAAATCATGACGCTGCACCCCACGGTTTACGTTCTAGGGGGCACCAAAGATGACCCAAAAATCCACATTCTTAAAAGTCATTTTGGCCACTGCAGGAGTACAGAGTACTGCAGTTCTAGGGGGCGCCAAAGATGACCCAAAAATCCACATTCTTAAAAGTCTTTTTGGCCACTGCAGGAGTACAGAGTACTGCAGGATACACACACACACACACACACACACACACACACACACACACACACACACACACACACACACACACACACACACACACACACACACACACACTCAGAGTCTGTTTTTTAGCACCTGCAAAAACATGCTGTTTACATATTTGACAAGAATGCAGAGGCTTCCTTTTGCCCCTGAAAAAAATCAGATTTCAAACACAACTTGACTGTTCATTTCTCCAAAAGACAACCATGAAGCTCCATCCAAACCTGAAGCAGATAGTTGGTGCATGTGTACAGTAACCTGAGGGGAGTGAGGTGACTATTTCTGAGGAGAACATGAGCAGTGAAGATTCACCTTGGAGCTAGAACAGGGACGTGCACATGATTATACAGGGGCAGGGGCTCAAGTTTTTTCCAGTCATTTATACAATATGGAAATTAATGTGAAATTAAACCACAAATATGTGTGATGAACTGTTTTTAAAACTTAAACTTCAAATAAAAATTGTAAACTTCAAAACATATGCAAATTTTTAACAAAGAACATAGTAATTTACCTCTATTTACATCAAAATGCAGGCAATGGCCCAGGCGTTCTTTGTAAAATTATTTACAAAACACTGTATAGTCTCACAAATGTCACTTTTTATTTATGCCACTACAAAAAAACATGATGTAAATGATGCATGATGTAAAACATGATGTAAAAAACTTGTGTAGATCCTCCTCTATGTCAGTCCATGTGTAATTTTTCCATAATTCTTTGTTTTTTGCAGCATTTTTGTTAGTGTAACTGCAGATTGTGCTGACAGTCTATGGCAAAAAAAACAAAAACTGAAAATGCCTCAACATGAACCCCTGGTGGTCTCTGAGGGTAAAACCTGCTAACTGCTGCAGCTCTGTCAGCTTCAGTCTCCCATGCAGAGCTCGGAGCGCATGTGTGGCTCTGCACCCTTAGCAGCGTTGCTAACTCCTCAGTAAGGAAAGCCTGCTTCATGTCAGAGTCTCTAAACTCCAGAAGAAGTCGATAAAAGTCCCTTTTATTCAAAAAAAAGTCGTTAGGGGGTCTGAAAAGTAATTGAATCTAACAACAAAGTCGCTAGGTTTGCAACTACGTGTCCCAGACTGCATCCCTGCTGAGAGTCCCTCCCTCCCTTCTCATGTTGCAGGAAGAACGTAAGCGCCCGCCCCTTGTCAATCAGTCACCATATAATTTTGGATTGGTTGTTGTGGTGAAGTTTTCCACCAATAGGAGAGATGTTGTGGTGTGTTTTTCTTTTCTTTTGGCAAGCCTTTTCCGCCTGTAAGACCTGTCGCTAATGTGTGCATGCTATGTTTTCCTGTCTCATACAGCGCGATCGAGCGCCGAACGTGATCAAAATAAGCAGAAAAAAAGTATCGCGGACATAATTTATCATAACTCTGGTTTTATTTGGCCTATCAACACAATTTAAAAACTGGTATATAGGTTGAGGTCCTCACTTTTGAGATAAGTTGAAACGGAGAGTCAACGAGGCTCCGTCTTGCAGCTACATCCGGTTAAATATGTCATGTGACTTGAACGCACACACAGACACACACACACGCACACACACACACACACACACACACACTCAGAGTCTGGTTTTTAGCACCTGCAAAAACATGCTATTTACATATTTGACAAGAATGCAGAGGCTCCTTTTGCCCCTGAAAAAAATCAAATTTCAAACACAACTTGACTGGTCATTTCTCCAAAAGACAACCATGAAGCTCCATCCAAACCTGAAGCAGGCAGTTGGTGCATGTGTACAGTAACCTGAGGGGAGTGAGGTGAGTGCTTCTGAGGAGAACATGAGCAGTGAAGATTCACCTTGGAGCTAGAACAGAGACATGCACATGATTATACAGGGGCAGGGGCTCAAGTTTTTTCCAGTCGTTTATACAATATGAAAATTAATGTGAAATTAAAACACAAAGTATTAATAGAAAGGTAATGACTGTCCTGTGTAGGTGACAGTGATATCCAATAGGCTAGGCACTCACGAGGCTGGCTGTGGCAAGTGTAAGTGAAAGCAACACGCACTGGCAGGAAGAACAGCAAACGCCGATGAAGGAAAAGGGTCTTTGCAGTGATGGGCGTTACCAGAGAGGGCGATGGCCAGAGGACACAAATGGGACGGGGAGGCAGCACGTTGGGGGGGGGGACGCGACACGGCTCGGGCCCGCCAGTGCCCCAACGGGGTCCTAGTTAGGGCCCGAGCGTAGCTGCTAAGCAGCTGCGAGAGCCCTATTATTCCTGATGGATTCTTCTTTCTTCTTCTTCTTCTTCTTCTTTAGGGCCCGAGCGTAGCTGCTAAGCAGCTGCGAGAGCCCTATTATTCCCCAAGTGGTTTTTCTTTGTTTCTTTAGGGCCCGAGCGTAGCTGCTAAGCAGCTGCGAGAGCCCTATTATTCCCCAAGTGGTTTTTCTTTGTTTCTTTCTTTCTTCTTTTTCCTCCCCTTTGAACTGGAAAATAGCCCACTTCCCACTGGCGAAAACTCATGAAATTTGGCAGGATGACCGGGCCTGGTGAAAAATTTGATATTCCGAAGTCGCCCAAACAAGAAAATGCAAAATGGCTCCATAGCGCCCCCTAAGGTGAAAATTCACAATATTGACTGTCACGCCTGTACTCTTTGTCAAAATGACACAAAAATTGACACACACATGTATCTCAATAAGATCTACAAAAAAGTCAGTGCGGGCGTATCTGTCAAATGTACGGTTAAAGGGTTATTTTGCATTTTTTGCCGATCCGCACACATTGGAATTTCGCTAACTCCTCCGAAGGCTTTCGTTCCACCGGCACCACATTTGCTCAGGCCAATCTACACCCCATGGCCATTAAAAGTTATTCAAATCATGACGCTGCACCCCACGGTTTAGGTTCTAGGGGGCGCCAAAGATAACCCTAAAATCCACATATTTAAAAGTCTTATAACTTTTTATTTTTGCCCTCACTGGCCTCCAAGTTTTCTAGGATGATGCAATGTCCAGCCATCAACACATTTGTGAAGGAATTTTCACTCCCCAAAAGAGCGCCCCCCCATGGCAGGAGAAAAAAGTCCATTTTTTCTTGTCCCCTAAGGTGAAAATACACATTGTTGAGTGTCACGCCTGTATGCTATGGCAAAATGACACAAAATTCGACACACACATGTATCTCAATAAGATCTACGAAAAAGTCAATGCGCGCATATCTGTCAAATGTACGGTTAAAGGGTTATTCCGCATTTTTTGCCGATCCGCACACATTGGAATTTCGCTAACTCCTCCGAAGGCTTTCGTTCCACCGGCACCACATTTGCTCAGGCCAATCTACACCCCATGGCCATTAAAAGTTATTCAAATCATGACGCTGCACCCCACGGTTTAGGTTCTAGGGGGCGCCAAATATAACCCTAAAATCCACATATTTCAAAGTCTTATAACTTTTTATTTTTGTCCTCACTGGCCTCCAAGTTTTCTAGGATGATGCAATGTCCAGCCATCAACACATTTGTGAAGGAATTTTTACTCCCCAAAAGAGCGCCCCCCCATGGCAGGAGAAAAAAGTCCATTTTTTCTTGTCCCCTAAGGTGAAAATTCACATTGTTGAGTGTGACACCTGTACGCTTTGTCATATTGACACAAAATTTGACAATCACGTGTATCTCAATAAGATCTACGAAAAAGTCAATGCGCGCGTATCTGTCAAATGTACGGTTAAAGGGCTATTTTGCATTTTTTGCCGATTCGCACACATTGGAATGTGGCTAACTCCTCCTAAGGCTTTCGTCCCACTGACACCAAATTTGCTCAGGCCAATCTACACCCCATGGCCATTCAAAGTTGTAAAAATCATGACGCTGCACCCCACGGTTTACGTTCTAGGGGGCGCCAAAGATGACCCAAATATCCACATTCTTAAAAGAATCCACATCCCCCCCCCCCATCCCCCATACCCCATTCCCCATGGCAGGAGAAACAGTCAAGTTTTTCCTGCCCATCACTCAATGGCTCAATCGCATCGCTCTCCCGGCAACACCGTAACGAGGAGCAACTTGCCGTTTGGATATATCCTAGCTGTGTTTGTGCCCTCACTCATGGTCCAGACTTTTTTCAAATAGGACATGTAGTTTGTCTGCAGCAAGTGTTTTGGTAGAAACTGCGCCTCCCATTCATTATAATGGGAAATGACCACAGACAAGTGCGCACACCATCTTTGGACCTTGAGTGTGACGCGATCGGGAGGGGGAGGCGGTCGCGCTGGGGGCGGCGCAACGCGGCTCGGGCCCGACAGTGCCCCACCGGGGCCCTAGTTCTTTCTTTAGGGCCCGAGCGTAGCTGCTAAGCAGCTGCGAGAGCCCTATTATTCCCCAAGTGGTTATTCTTTGTTTCTTTTTAGGGCCCGAGCGTAGCTGCTAAGCAGCTGCGAGAGCCCTATTATTCCCCAAGTGGTTTTTCTTTGTTTCTTTCTTTCTTTCTTTCTTTCTTTCTTTCTTTCTTCTTTTTCCTCCCCTTTGAACTGGAAAATGGCCCACTTCCCACTGGCGAAAACTCATGAAATTTGGCAGGACGACTGGGCCTGGTGAAAAATTCGATATTCTGAAGTCGCCCAAACAATAAAATGCAAAATGGCTCCATAGCGCCCCCTAAGGTGGAAATTCACACTATTGACTGTCACGCCTGTACGCTTTGTCATATTGACACAAAAATTGACACACATATGTATCTCAATAAGATCTACAAAACAGTCAGTGCGGCTGTATCTGTCAAAATTACGGTTAAAGGGTTATTTCGCATTTTTTGCCGATCCGCACACATTGGAATTTCGCTAACTCCTCCGAAGGCTTTCGTTCCACCGGCACCACATTTGCTCAGGCCAATCTACACCCCGTGGCCATTAAAAGTTATCAAAATCATGACGCTGCACCCCAAGGTTTAGGTTCTAGGGGGCGCCAAAGATAACACTAAAATCCACATATTTAAAAGTCTTATAACTTTTTATTTTTGTCCTCACTGGCCTCCAAGTTTTCTAGGATGATGCAATGTCCAGCCATCAACACATTTGTGAAGGAATTTTTACTCACCAAAAGAGCGCCCCCCATGGCATGAGAAAAAAGTCCATTTTTTCTTGTCCCCTAAGGTGAAAATACACATTGTTGAGTGTCACGCCTATACGCTTTGTCAAAATGACACAAAAATTGACACACACATGTAACTCAATAAGATCTACGAAAAAGTCAATGCGTGCGTATCTGTCAAATGTACGGTTAAAGGGTTATTCCGCATTTTTTGCCGATCCGCACACATTGGAATGTGGCTAACTCCTCCTAAGGCTTTCGTTCCACCGGCACCACATTTGCTCAGGCCAATCTACACCCCATGGCCATTAAAAGTTATTCAAATCATGACGCTGCACCCCACGGTTTAGGTTCTAGGGGGCGCCAAAGATAACCCTAAAATCCACATATTTAAAAGTCTTATAACTTTTTATTTTTGTCCTCACTGGCCTCCAAGTTTTCTAGGATGATGCAATGTCCAGCCATCAACACATTTGTGAAGGCATTTTTACTCCCCAAAAGAGCGCCCCCCCATGGCAGGAGAAAAAAGTCCATTTTTTCTTGTCCCCTAAGGTGAAAATACATATTGTTGAGATTCACGCCTATACGCTTTGTCATATTGACACAAAATTTGACAATCACGTGCCTTGCCTGGTATCATTTTTTTCAGCACAACCTCACCTGTGCGAATTTACAGTTATTTTATCATGTTGACATACTGAATTTACACAATGGACCCAAATTCACACACAAAACATAAAATCCGAGTGGAAAAAAGTAACATTTTTACTCTGAAAACCACAATTATGTGTGATGAACTGTTTTTAAAACTTAGACTTCAAATAAAAATTGTAAACTTCAAAACATATGCAAATTTTTAACAAAGAACATAGTGATTTACCTCTATTTACATCAAAATGCAGGCAATGGCCCAGGCGTTCTTTGTAAAATTATTTACAAAACACTGTATAGTCTCACAAATGTCACTTTTTATTTATGCCACTACAAAAAAACATGATGTAAATGATGCATGATGTAAAACATGATGTAAAAAACTTGTGTAGATCCTCCTCTATGTCAGTCCATGTGTAATTTTTCCATAATTCTTTGTTTTTTGCAGCATTTTTGTTAGTGTAACTGCAGATTGTGCTGACAGTGTCTATGGCACAAAAAAAAAAATTTAAAATGCCTCAACATGAACCCCTGGTGGTCTCTGAGGGTGAAACCTGCTAACTGCTGCAGCTCTGTCAGCTTCAGTCTCCCATGCAGAGCTCTGAGCGCATGTGTGGCTCTGCACCCTTAGCAGCGTTGCTAACTCCTCAGTAAGGAAAGCCTGCTTCATGTCAGAGTCTCTAAACTCCAGAAGAAGTCGATAAAAGTCCCTTTCTTTCTAAAAAAAAGTCGTTAGGGGGTCTGAAAAGTCATTGAATCTAACAACAAAGTCGCTAGGTTTGCAACTACGTGTCCCAGACTGCATCCCTGCTGAGAGTCCCTCCCTCGCTTCTCATGTTGCAGGAAGAACGTAAGCGCCCGCCCCTTGTCAATCAGTCACCATATAATTTTGGATTGGTTGTTGTGGTGAAGTTTTCCACCAATAGGAGAGATGTTGTGGTGTGTTTTTTTTTTCTTTTGGCAAGCCTTTTCCGCCTGTAAGACCTGTCGCTAATGTCTGCATGCTATGTTTTCCTGTCTCATACAGCGCGATCGAGCGCCGAACGTGATCAAAATAAGCAGAAAAAAAGTATCGCGGACATAATTTATCATAACTCTGGTTTTATTTGGCCTATCAACACAATTTAAAAACTGGTATATAGGTTGAGGTCCTCACTTTTGAGATAAGTTGAAACGGAGAGTCAACGAGGCTCCGTCTTGCAGCTACATCCGGTTAAATATGTCATGTGACTTGAACGCACACACAGACACACACACACGCACACACACACACACACACACACACACACACACACACACACACACACACACACACACACTCAGAGTCTGGTTTTTAGCACCTGCAAAAACATGCTGTTTACATATTTGACAAGAATGCAGAGGCTCCTTTTGCCCCTGAAAAAAATCAAATTTCAAACACAACTTGACTGGTCATTTCTCCAAAAGACAACCATGAAGCTCCATCCAAACCTGAAGCAGGCAGTTGGTGCATGTGTACAGTAACCTGAGGGGAGTGAGGTGAGTGCTTCTGAGGAGAACATGAGCAGTGAAGATTCACCTTGGAGCTAGAACAGAGACATGCACATGATTATACAGGGGCAGGGGCTCAAGTTTTTTCCAGTCGTTTATACAATATGGAAATTAATGTGAAATTAAAACACAAAGTATTAATAGAAAGGTAATGACTGTCCTGTGTAGGTGACAGTGATATCCAATAGGCTAGGCACTCACGAGGCTGGCTGTGGCAAGTGTAAGTGAAAGCAACACGCACTGGCAGGAAGAACAGCAAACGCCGATGAAGGAAAAGGGTCTTTGCAGTGATGGGCGTTACCAGAGAGGGCGATGGCCAGAGAACACAAATGGGACGGGGAGGCAACACGTTGGGGGGGGGACGCGACACGGCTCGGGCCCGCCAGTGCCCCAACGGGGTCCTAGTTTCTTTTTCCTCCCCTTTGAACTGGAAAATGGCCCACTTCTCACTGGCGAAAACTCATGAAATTTGGCAGGACGACCGGGCCTGGTGAAAAATTTGATATTCCGAAGTCGCCCAAACAAGAAAATGCAAAATGGCTCCAAAGCGCCCCCTAAGGTGAAAATTCACACTATTGACTGTCACGCCTGTACGCTTTGTCAAAATGACACAAAAATTGACACACACATGTACCTCAATAAGATCTACAAAAAAGTCAGTGCGGGCGTATCTGTCAAATGTACGGTTAGAGGGTTATTTCGCATTTTTTGCCGATCCGCACACATTGGAATTTCGCTAACTCCTCTGAAGGCTTTCGTTCCACCGGCACCACATTTGCTCAGGCCAATCTACACCCCATGGCCATTAAAAGTTATTCAAATCATGACGCTGCACCCCACGGTTTAGGTTCTAGGGGGCGCCAAAGATAACACTAAAATCCACATTTTTAAAAGTCTTATAACTTTTTATTTTTGCCCTCACTGGCCTCCAAGTTTTCTAGGATGATGCAATGTCCAGCCATCAACACATTTGTGAATGAATTTTTACTCCCCAAAAGAGCGCCCCCCCATGGCAGGAGAAAAAAGTCCATTTTTTCTTGTCCCCTAAGGTGAAAATACACATTGTTGAGTGTTACGCCTGTACGCTTTGGCAAAATGACACAAAAATTGACACACACATGTATCTCAAGAAGATCTACAAAAAAGTCCATGCGCGCGTATCTGTATAATGTACGGTTAAAGGGTTATTCCGCATTTTTTGCCGATCCGCACACATTGGAATTTCGCTAACTCCTCCGAAGGCTTTCGTTCCACCGGCACCACATTTGCTCAGGCCAAATTACACCCCATGGCCATTAAAAGTTATTCAAATCATGACGCTGCACCCCACGGTTTACGTTCTAGGGGGCGCCAAAGATAACCCAAAAATCCACATTTTTAAAAGTCTTTTAACTTTTTATTTTTGTCCTCACTGGCCTCCAAGTTTTCTAGGATGATGCAATGTCCAGCCATCAACACATTTGTGAAGGAATTTTTACTCCCTAAAAGAGCGCCCCCCCATGGCAGGAGAAAAAAGTCCATTTTTTCTTGTCCCCTAAGGTGAAAATACACATTGTTGACTGTCACGCCTGTACGCTTTGGCAAAATGACACAAAAATTGACAATCATGTGTATCTCAATTAGATCTACGAAAAAGTCAAAGAGCGCGTATCTGTATAATGTACGGTAAAAGGGCTATTTTGCATTTTTTGCCAATTCGCACACATTGGAATTTCACTAACTCCTCCTAAGGCCTTCGTCCCACTGACACCAAATTTGCTCAGGCCAATCTACACTCCATGGCCATTCAAAGTTGTAAAAATCATGACGCTGCACCCCACGGTTTACGTTTTAGGGGGCGCCAAAGATGACCCAAATATACATTACAGTAGACAAAGTAGTTTTGCCCACTGAGTGGCGCCAAAGGGACTTGTCTGTGGAGTCTGTGAGTCACTATTGGCCGTTTTTGACTACTTTAGATTTTACCTTTATATTTCCTCTTACAAAATTTTTACCTTGCCTTGCCTGGTATCATTTTTTTCAGCACAACCTCACCTGTGTCAATTTACAGTTATTTTATCATTTTGACATACTATATTTACACATTGGACCCAAATTCACACACAAAACATAAAATCCGAGTGGAAAAAAGTAACGTTTTTACTGTGAAAACCACAAATAAGTGTGATGAACTGTTTTTAAAACTTAAACTTCAAATAAAAATTGTAAACTTCAAAACATATGCAAATTTTTAACAAAGAACATAGTAATTTACCTCTATTGACATCAAAATGCAGGCAATGGCCCAGGTGTTCTTTGTAAAATTATTTACAAAACACTGTATAGTCTCACAAATGTCACTTTTATTTATGCCACTACAAAAAAACATGATGTAAATGATGCATGATGTAAAACATGATGTAAAAAACTTGTGTAGATCCTCCTCTATGTTAGTCCATGTGTAATTTTTCCATAATTCTTTGTTTTTTGCAGCATTTTTGTTAGTGTAACTGCAGATTGTGCTGACAGTGTCTATGGCAAAAAAAAAAAAAAAAAAACTGAAAATGCCTCAACATGAACCCCTGGTGGTCTCTGAGGGTGAAACCTGCTAACTGCTGCAGCTCTGTCAGCTTCAGTCTCCCATGCAGAGCTCGGAGCGCATGTGTGGCTCTGCACCCTTAGCAGTGTTGCTAACTCCTCAGTAAGGAAAGCCTGCTTCATGTCAGAGTCTCTAAACTCCAGAAGAAGTCGATAAAAGTCACTTTCTTTCTAAAAAAAAGTCGTTAGGGGGTCTGAAAAGTCATTGAATCTAACAACAAAGTCGCTAGGTTTGCAACTACGTGTCCCAGACTGCATCCCTGCTGAGAGTCCCTCCCTCCCTTCTCATATTGCAGGAAGAACGTAAGTTCCCGCCCCTTGTCAATCAGTCACCATATAATTTTGGATTGGTTGTTGTGGTGAAGTTTTCCACCAATAGGAGAGATGTTGTGGTGTGTTTTTTTTTTCCTTTGGCAAGCCTTTTCCGCCTGTAAGACCTGTCGCTAATGTCTGCATGCTATGTTTTCCTGTCTCATACAGCGCGATCGAGCGCCGAACGTGATCAAAATAAGCAGAAAACAAGTATCGCGGACATAATTTATCATAACTCTGGTTTTATTTGGCCTATCAACACAATTTAAAAACTGGTATATAGGTTGAGGTCCTCACTTTTGAGATAAATTGAAACGGAGAGTCAACGAGGCTCCGTCTTGCAGCTACATCCGGTTAAATATGTCATGTGACTTGAACGCACACACACACACACACACAGACACACACACACACGCACACACACACACGCACACACACACACTCAGAGTCTGGTTTTTAGCACCTGCAAAAACATGCTATTTACATATTTGACAAGAATGCAGAGGCTCCTTTTGCCCCTGAAAAAAATCAAATTTCAAACACAACTTGACTGGTCATTTCTCCAAAAGACAACCATGAAGCTCCATCCAAACCTGAAGCAGGCAGTTGGTGCATGTGTACAGTAACCTGAGGGGAGTGAGGTGACTGCTTCTGAGGAGAACATGAGCAGTGAAGATTCACCTTAGAGCTAGAACAGAGACGTGCACATGATTATACAGGGGCAGGGGCTCAAGTTTTTTCCAGTTGTTTATACAATGTGGAAATTAATGTGAAATTAAAAAACAAAGTATTAATAGAAAGGTAATGACTGTCCTGTGTAGGTGACAGTGATATCCAATAGGCTAGGCACTCACGAGGCTGGCTGTGGCAAGTGTAAGTGAAAGCAACACGCACTGGCAGGAAGAACAGCAAACGCCGATGAAGGAAAAGGGTCTTTGCAGTGATGGGCGTTACCAGAGAGGGCGACGGCCAGAGGACGCGAATGGGACGGGGAGGCAGCGCGTTGGGGGGGGGACGCGACACAGCTCGGGCCCGCCAGTGCCCCAACGGGGTCCTAGTTAGGGCCCGAGCCAGCTGCAGAGCAGCCGGGCGTAGGCCCTATTATTCCCCAAGTGGTTTTTCTTTGTTTCTTTCTTTCTTTCTTTCTTCTTTTTCCTCCCCTTTGAACTGGAAAATGGCCCACTTCCCACTGGCGAAAACTCATGAAATTTGGCAGGACGACCGGGCCTGGTGAAAAATTCGATATTCTGAAGTCGCCCAAACAATAAAATGCAAAATGGCTCCATAGCGCCCCCTAAGGTGGAAATTCACACTATTGACTGTCACGCCTGTACGCTTTGTCATATTGACACAAAAATTGACACACATATGTATCTCAATAAGATCTACAAAAAAGTCAGTGCGGGCGTATCTGTCAAATGTACGGTTAAAGGGTTATTTCGCATTTTTTGCCGATCCGCACACATTGGAATTTCGCTAACTCCTCCGAAGGCTTTCGTTCCACCGGCACCACATTTGCTCAGGCCAATCTACACCCCGTGGCCATTAAAAGTTATCAAAATCATGACGCTGCACCCCAAGGTTTAGGTTCTAGGGGGCGCCAAAGATAACACTAAAATCCACATATTTAAAAGTCTTATAACTTTTTATTTTTGTCCTCACTGGCCTCCAAGTTTTCTAGGATGATGCAATGTCCAGCCATCAACACATTTGTGAAGGAATTTTTACTCCCCAAAACAGCGCCCCCCCATGGCAGGACAAAAAAGTCAATTTTTTCTTGTCCCCTAAGGTGAAAATACACATTGTTGAGTGTCACGCCTATACGCTTTGTCAAAATGACACAAAAATTGACACACACATGTAACTCAATAAGATCTACGAAAAAGTCAATGCGCGCGTATCTGTCAAATGTACGGTTAAAGGGCTATTTTGCATTTTTTGCCGATCCGCACACATTGGAATGTGGCTAACTCCTCCTAAGGCTTTCGTTCCACCGGCACCACATTTGCTCAGGACAATCTACACCCCATGGCCATTAAAAGTTATTCAAATCATGACGCTGCACCCCACGGTTTAGGTTCTAGGGGGCGCCAAAGATAACCCTAAAATCCACATATTTAAAAGTCTTATAACTTTTTATTTTTGTCCTCACTGGCCTCCAAGTTTTCTAGGATGATGCAATGTCCAGCCATCAACACATTTGTGAAGGAATTTTTACTCCCCAAAAGAGCGCCCCCCCATGGCAGGAGAAAAAAGTCCATTTTTTCTTGTCCCCTAAGGTGAAAATATATATTGTTGAGATTCAAGCCTATACGCTTTGTCATATTGACACAAAATTTGACAATCACGTGCCTTGCCTGGTATCATTTTTTTCAGCACAACCTCACCTGTGCGAATTTACAGTTATTTTATCATGTTGACATACTGAATTTACACAATGGACCCAAATTCACACACAAAACATAAAATCAGAGTGGAAAAAAGTAACATTTTTACTGTGAAAACCACAAATATGTGTGATGAACTGTTTTTAAAACTTAAACTTCAAATAAAAATTGTAAACTTCAAAACATATGCAAATTTTTAACAAAGAACATAGTGATTTACCTCTATTTTCATCAAAATGCAGGCAATGGCCCAGGCGTTCTTTGTAAAATTTATTTACAAAACACTGTATAGTCTCACAAATGTCACTTTTTATTTATGCCACTACAAAAAAACATGATGTAAATGATGCATGATGTAAAACATGATGTAAAAAACTTGTGTAGCTCCTCCTCTATGTCAGTCCATGTGTAATTTTTCCATAATTCTTTGTTTTTTGCAGCATTTTTGTTAGTGTAACTGCAGATTGTGCTGACAGTGTCAATGGCACAAAAAAAAAAATAAAATGCCTCAACATGAACCCCTGGTGGTCTCTGAGGGTGAAACCTGCTAACTGCTGCAGCTCTGTCAGCTTCAGTCTCCCATGCAGAGCTCTGAGCGCATGTGTGGCTCTGCACCCTTAGCAGCGTTGCTAACTCCTCAGTAAGGAAAGCCTGCTTCATGTCAGAGTCTCTAAACTCCAGAAGAAGTCGATAAAAGTCCCTTTCTTTCTAAAAAAAAGTCGTTAGGGGGTCTGAAAAGTCATTGAATCTAACAACAAAGTCGCTAGGTTTGCAACTACGTGTCCCAGACTGCATCCCTGCTGAGAGTCCCTCCCTCCCTTCTCATGTTGCAGGAAGACAGTAAGCACCCGCCCCTTGTCAATCAGTCACCATATAATTTTGGATTGGTTGTTGTGGTGAAGTTTTCCACCAATAGGAGAGATGTTGTGGTGTGTTTTTTTTTCTTTTGGCAAGCCTTTTCCGCCTGTAAGACCTGTCGCTAATGTCTGCATGCTATGTTTTCCTGTCTCATACAGCGCGATTGAGCGCCGAACGTGATCAAAATAAGCAGAAAACAAGTATCGCGGACATAATTTATCATAACTCTGGTTTTATTTGGCCTATCAACACAATTTAAAAACTGGTATATAGGTTGAGGTCCTCACTTTTGAGATAAGTTGAAACGGAGAGTCAACGAGGCTCCGTCTTGCAGCTACATCCGGTTAAATATGTCATGTGACTTGAACGCACACACACACACGCACACACACACACACACACACACACACACACACACACACACACACACACACACACACACACACACTCAGAGTCTGGTTTTTAGCACCTGCAAAAACATGCTATTTACATATTTGACAAGAATGCAGAGGCTCCTTTTGCCCCTGAAAAAAATCAAATTTCAAACACAACTTGACTGGTCATTTCTCCAAAAGACAACCATGAAGCTCCATCCAAACCTGAAGCAGGCAGTTGGTGCATGTGTACAGTAACCTGAGGGGAGTGAGGTGAGTGCTTCTGAGGAGAACATGAGCAGTGAAGATTCACCTTGGAGCTAGAACAGAGACATGCACATGATTATACAGGGGCAGGGGCTCAAGTTTTTTCCAGTCGTTTATACAATATGGAAATTAATGTGAAATTAAAACACAAAGTATTAATAGAAAGGTAATGACTGTCCTGTGTAGGTGACAGTGATATCCAATAGGCTAGGCACTCACGAGGCTGGCTGTGGCAAGTGTAAGTGAAAGCAACACGCACTGGCAGGAAGAACAGCAAACGCCGATGAAGGAAAAGGGTCTTTGCAGTGATGGGCGTTACCAGAGAGGGCGATGGCCAGAGGACACAAATGGGACGGGGAGGCAGCACGTTGGGGGGGGGGGGGGGGGGGACACGGCTCGGGCCCGCCAGTGCCCCAACGGGGTCCTAGTTAGGGCCCGAGCGTATTGTTGAGATTCACGCCTATACGCTTTGTCATATTGACACAAAATTTGACAATCACGTGCCTTGCCTGGTATCATTTTTTTTCAGCACAACCTCACCTGTGCGAATTTACAGTTATTTTATCATGTTGACATACTGAATTTACACAATGGACCCAAATTCACACACAAAACATAAAATCCGAGTGGAAAAAAGTAACATTTTTACTGTGAAAACCACAAATATGTGTGATGAACTGTTTTTAAAACTTAAACTTCAAACTAGGGCCCCGGTGGGGCACTGTCGGGCCCGAGCCGCGTCGCGCCACCCCCAGCGCGACCGCCTCCCCCTCCCGATCGCGTCACACTCAAGGTCCAAAGATGGTGTGCGCACTTGTCTGTGGTCATTTCCCATTATAATGAATGGAGGCGCAGTTTCTACCAAAACACTCGCTGCAGACAAACTACATGTCCTATTTGAAAAAAGTCTGGACCATGAGTGAGGGCACAAACACAGCTAGGATATATCCAAATGGCAAGTTGCTCCTCCTTACGGTGTTGCTGGGAGAGCGATGCGATTGAGCCATTGACCGATGGGCAGGGTTAACTTGACTTTTTCTCCTGCCTTGGGGGGGGGGGGGATGTGGATTGTTTTAAGAATGTGGATATTTGGGTCATCTTTGGCGCCCCCTAGAACGTAAACCGTGGGGTGCAGCGTCATGATTTCTACAACTTTGAATGGCCATGGGATGTAGATCGGCTTGAGCAAATTTGGTGTTGGTGGGACGAAAGCCTTAGGAGGAGTTAGCCACATTCCAATGTGTGCGAATCGGCAAAAAATGCGAAATAGCCCTTTAACCGTACATTTTACAGATACGTGCCCATTGACTTTTTCGTAGATCTTATTAAGATACACGTGTGTGTCAAATTTTGTGTCATTTTGACAAAGCGTATAGGCGTGACAGTCAACAATGTGTTTTTTCACCTTAGGGGACAAGAAAAAATGGACTCTTTTCTCCTGCCATGGGGGGGCGCTCTTTTTCGGGAGTAAAAATTCCTTTACAAATGTGTTGATGGCTGGACATTGCATCATCCTAGAAAACTTGGAGGCCAGTGAGGACAAAAATAAAAAGTTATAACACTTTTAAGAATATGGATATTTGGGTCATCTTTGGCGCCCCCTAGAACGTAAACCGTGGGGTGCAGCGTCATGATTTTTACAACTTTGAATGGCCATGGGGTGTAGATTGGCCTGAGCAAATTTGGTGTCAGTGGGACGAAAGCTGTAGGACGAGTTAGCCACATTCCAATGTGTGCGAATCAGCAAAAAATGCAAAATAGCCCTTTAACCGTACATTTTACAGATACGTGCCCATTGACTTTTTCGTAGATCTTATTGAGATACATGTGTGTGTCAATTTTTGTGTCAATATGACAAAGCGTACAGGCGTGACAGTCAACAATGTGTATTTTCACCTTAGGGGACAAGAAAAAATGGACTTTTTTCTCCTGCCATGTGGGGGCGCTCTTTTGGGGAGTAAAAATTCCTTCACAAATGTGTTGATGGCTGGACATTGCATCATCCTAGAGAACTTGGAGGCCAGTGAGGAAAAAAATAAAAAGTTATAAGACTTTTAAGAATGTGGATTTTTTGGTTATCTTTGGCGCCCCCTAGAACCTAAACCGTGGGGTGCAGCGTCATGATTTGTACAACTTTCGATGGCCATGGGGTGTAGATTGGCCTGAGCAAATGTGGTGCCGGTGGAACGAAAGCCTTCGGAGGAGTTAGCGAAATTTCAATGTGTGCGGATCGGCAAAAAATGCGAAATAACCCTTTAACCGTACATTTGACAGATACGCCCGCACTGACTTTTTTGTAGATCTTATTGAGATACATGTGTGTGTCAATTTTTGTGTCAATATGGCAAAGCGTACAGGCGTGACAGTCAACAGTGTGAGATTCCACCTTAGGGGGCGCTATGGAGCCATTTTGCATTTTATTGTTTGGGCGACTTCAGAATATCGAATTTTTCACCAGGCCCGGTCGTCCTGCCAAATTTCATGAGTTTTCGCCAGTGGGAAGTGGGCCATTTTCCAGTTTAAAGCGGAGGAAAAATAATAACTAGGGCCCCGGTGGGGCACTGGCGGGCCCGAGCCGTGTCGCGCAGCCCCCAGCGCGACCGCCTCCCCCACCCAATCGCGTCACACTCAAGGTCCAAAGATGGTGTGCGCACTTGTCTGTGGTCATTTACCATTATAATGAATGGGAGGCGCAGTTTCTACCAAAACGCTTGCTGCAGAAAAACTCCATGTCCTATTTGAAAAAAGTCTGGACCATGAGTGAGGGCACAAACACAGCTAAGATATATCCAAATGGCAAGTTGCTCCTCCTTTCGCTTTTGCAGAGAGAGCGATGCGTTTGAGCCATTGAACGATGAACAGGAAAAACTTGACTTTATTCTCCTGCCATGGGGGGGCGCTCTTTTAACGAGAAAAAACTCCTTCACAAATGTGTTGATGGCTGGACATTGCATCATCCTAGAAAACATGGAGGCCAGTGAGGACAAAAATAAAAAGTTATAAGACTTCTAAATATGTGGATTTTAGGGTTATCTTTGGCGCCCCCTAGAACTTAAACCGTGGGGTGCAGCGTCATGATTTTTACAACTTTGAATGGCCATGGGGTGTAGATTGGCCTGAGCAAATTTGGTGCCGGTGGAGCGAAAGCCTTAGGAGGAGTTAGCTACATTCCAATGTGTGCGAATCGGCAAAAAATGCGAAATAGCCCTTTAACCGTACATTTGACAGATACGCCTGCATTTACTTTTTCGTAGATCTTATTGAGATACACGTGTGTGTCGAATTTTGTGTTATTTTGACAAAGCGTACAGGCATGACACTCAACAATGTGTATTTTCACCTTAGGGGACAAGAAAAAATGGACTTTTTTCTCCTGCCATGGGGGGGCGCTCTTTTGGGGAGTAAACATTCCTTCACAAATGTGTTGATGGCTGGACATTGCATCATCCTAGAAAACTTGGAGGCCAGTGAGGACAAAAATAAAAAGTTATAAGACTTTTAAAAATGTGGATATTTGGGTCCTCTTTGGCGCCCCCTAGAACGTAGACCGTGGGGTGCAGCGTCATGATTTTTACAACTTTGAATGGCCATGGAGTGTAGATTGGCCTGAGCAAATTTGGTGTCAGTGGGACGAAAGCCTTCGGAGGAGTTAGCCACATTCCAATGTGTGCGAAACGGCAAAAAATGCGAAATAGCCCTTTAACCGTACATTTTACTGATACGCGCGCATTGACTCTTTCGTAGATCTTATTGAGATACACGTGATTGTCAAATTTTGTGTCAATATGACGAAGCGTACAGGCGTGACATTCAACAATGTGTATTTTCGCCTTAGGGGACAAGAAAAAATGGACTTTTTTCTCCTGCCATGGGGGGGCGCTCTTTTGGCGAGTAAAAATTCCTTCACAAATGTGTTGATGGCTGGACATTGCATCATCCTAGAAAACTTGGAGGCCAGTGAGGAGAAAAATAAAAAGTTATAAGACTTCTAAATATGTGGATTTTAGGGTTATCTTTGGCGCCCCCTAGAACCTAAACCGTGGGGTGCAGTGTCATGATTTGTACAACTTTTAATAGCCATGGGGTGTAGATTGGCCTGAGCAAATTTGGTGCCGGTGGAACGAAAGCCTTCGGAGGAGTTAGCGAAATTCCAATGTGTGCGGATCGGCAAAAAATGCAAAATAGCCCTTTAACCGTACATTATACAGATACGCGCTCTTTGACTTTTTCGTAGATCTTATTGAGATACACGTGATTGTCAAATTTTGTGTCAATATGACAAAGCGTTTAGGCGTGACACTCAACAATGTGTATTTTCATGTTAGGGGACAAGAAAAACTTGACTTTTTTCTCCTGCCATGTGGGGGCGCTCTTTTGGGGAGTAAAAACTCCTTCACAAATGTGTTGATGGCTGGACATGGCATCATCCTAGAAAACTTGGAGGCAAGTGAGGACAAAAATAAAAAGTTATAAGACTTTTAAGAATGTGGATTTTTGGGTTATTTTTGGCGCCCCCTAGAACGTAAACCGTGGGGTGCAGCATCATGATTTGTACAACTTTTAATGGCCATGGGGTGTAGATTGGCCTGAGCAAATTTGGTGCCGGTGGAACGAAAGCCTTCGGAGGAGTTAGCGAAATTTCAATGTGTGTGGATCGGCAAAAAATGCGAAATAGCCCTTTAACCGTACATTTGACAGATACGCCCGCACTGACTTTTTTGTAGATCTTATTGAGATACACATGTGTGTCAAATTTTGTGTCATTTTGACAAAGCGTACAGGCGTCAGGTGAGTTTTCACCATAGGGGGCGCTATGGAGCCATTTTTCATTTTTTTGTTTGGGCGACTTCAGAATATCAAATTTTTCACCAGGCCCGGTCGTCCTGCCAAATTTCCTGAGTTTTCGCCATTGGGAAGTGGGCCATTTTCCAGTTTAAAGCGGAGGAAAAATAACGAAAGAAGAATCCATCAGGAACAAGAGGGCTCTCGCAGCTGCTTAGCAGCTACGCTCGGGCCCTAATAACTAGGGCCCCGTTGGGGCACTGGCGGGCCCGAGCTGTGTCGCGGCGCCCCCAGTGCGACTGCCTCCCCCTCCCGATCGCGTCACACTCAAGGTCCAAAGATGGTGTGCGCACTTGTCTGTGGTCATTTACCATTATAATGAATGGGAGGCGCAGTTTCTACCAAAACACTAGGTGCAGACAAACTACATGTCCTATATGAAAAAAGTCTGGACCAT